GGGACCGGTTGTATGCGCATGTGCGGCAATACGGCGTCAGTACAGTGTCTCATACAATTAACAAGGCACCGTTACCCCGCTACATTAAAAATATTTCTAAATTTTTTGAAATTGATTGAAATTTTTTACTTCTTGGTTTTTTAGCTGCTGGCTCCGTAGATTCCATGCTTGTAAATAAATAAATCTTACCTTATTTGTAGTCACCAGACCTTCTCATGTCAAAACGTCCCGCCATACGGTCAACACATAACATATAACGGCACTGGATCTCCATCACCGCACATGCGCAGAGCCGCACATGCGCATACAACCGGTCCCATATCGCAACACTGGAATTGTGATAAACAATTTTGGTCTCTTAATTATAAATATAACATTTAAAAAAAACCTATGTTGCCGATTGACGATTCCAGCAATTTTCATTTAAACGAAAAAATGAAAAGATTATTATTTTAACTATTGATTACTATTATCACTATAATTGACTATAATTATTGTTACGTTCTGACAGAAAGAATTAGAGAAAACTTGGCGATCAGTTTGATTGGGGCTGATCGCTCGAGCCGAGTGGTCTGTGTGATTTGTGACAGGTCAGCAACCGGGTAGGTCCCTTTACTCTGTCAGCAGATCAACCGCTTGTAGGTTCCTTTTTGAGTGAAGGAATTAAATCCCTTTTATCCGAGACGGAACTCTTATGCGAGAGCTGAATGAGGGAAAAAGGAATAACGAAGGGTCTTAAAAATAAAATAAAATAAAATGACATAAAATGAAAGAAAATTAAATTAGTTACAAATTCGCATTTATTTCTCTATCTTTGATTGGTTAAATCAGGCCTCGAAATTATTTTATCTTTTCAGCCGATTCTCGTGGTATACGCCTCCTTTCCTCTCTTCACCGCGCGCGCGGCAGCTGCTAGGGCCAGCGCCGCCGAGCGTTAGGAGCGGCGCTATCCGATAAATGTTGGGTTCTTCTTCCTTGATCATTAAAAGTTAAAAAAATTTATTAAAAATATTTTTTTTATTTTTAAATTTATTATGTGCAAATATTTTAATAGATTTCCACGTCA